TGTTTCCAAGCATCTTCCTGGTTTGTTATGTAAGCGTGAATAGAGTCAACTGTTTTCGGAAGAAATCTCCAAATTTCTGATCCAAGAAAAACTGACCCGCCCCATTATTTCTTTGGAACTGTCTCCACGAACTTCATACATAATATTAGTCATATTAACGGAAAGGAGGTTGGAATGCGACACAATCATTCAGACAGTAACTTGTGGGAGCTTCTTGTGAACTTTAAATAATGTCAAGAATGTTGTTACCTCGTCAAAAACAGACCTGGAGTTGTGTTTTGTTTCATTCACATGTTTAGTTTGTGTAACCCTTTATTATTAGTCTGTCTACATCTCCACAGTGACAGTTTTCACGTTAACAGCTTTTTTTTTTTAACCTTTAGTTGAGTAGAGATCTGCAAATCCAGAGCTGAAATCATCCGAATGATTCTAGTGAAGGTGTGTGGAGTTTAAAAACACAGTGGAGCACTTCCTGTATTACCACATGACATGACATCACAAGGTGGAACAGAGCGTTTTCCGTTTGAGAGACTGTGTGAATGAAACAAAACATGCTCCCTACAACTGTACAACAACTCACCCTTATGTAACAGATAATACTCCCTACAACTGTACAACTCACCCTTATGTAAACAGATAATACTCCCTACAACTGTACAACAACTCATCCTTATGTAACAGATAATACTCCCTACAACTGTACAACAACTCACCTTTATGAAACAGATAATACTCCCTACAACTGTACAACAACTCACCCTTATGTAACAGATAATACTCCCTACAACTGTACAACAACTCACCTTTATGAAACAGATAATACTCCCTACAACTGTACAACAACTCACCTTTATGAAACAGATAATACTCCCTACAACTGTACAACAACTCACCCTTATGTAACAGATAATACTCCCTACAACTGTACAACTCACCCTTATGTAACAGATAATACTCCCTACAACTGTACAACAACTCACCTTTATGTAATATATAATACTCCCTACAACTGTACAACAACTCATCCTTATGTAACAGATAATACTCCCTACAACTGTATAACAACTCATCCTTATGTAACAGATAATACTCCCTACAACTGTACAACAACTCATCCTTATGTAACAGATAATACTCCCTACAACTGTACAACTCACCCTTATGTAACAGATAATACTCCCTACAACTGTACAACAACTCACCTTTATGTAACAGATAATACTCCCTACAACTGTACAACTTACCTTTATGTAATATATAATACTCCCTACAACTGTACAACAACTCACCTTTATGTAATATATAATACTCCCTACAACTGTACAACAACTCACCTTTATGTAACAGATAATACTCCCTACAACTGTACAACTTACCTTTATGTAATATATAATACTCCCTACAACTGTACAACAACTCACCTTTATGTAATATATAATACTCCCTACAACCCTACAACTCACCTTTATGTAATATATAATACTCCCTACAACCCTACAACTCACCTTTATGTAATATATAATACTCCCTACAACCCTACAACTCACCTTTATGTAATATATAATAATCTGTACAAAAGTACAACTCACCATTATAGATAATACTTTACAGATAATACTCCCTACAACTGTACAACAACTTACCTTTATGTAACAGATAATACTCCCTACAACTGTACACCTCACCCTTATGTAATATATAATACTCCCTACAAATGTACAACTCACCCTTATGTAATATATAATACTCCCTACAAATGTACAATAACTCACCCTTATGTAACAGATAATACTCCCTACAACTGTACACCTCACCCTTATGTAATATATAATACTCCCTACAACTGTACAACAACTCACCCTTATGTAACAGATAATACTCCCTACAACTGTACAACAACTCACCCTTATGTAACAGATAATACTCCCTACAACTGTCTTCCTATGACCTCTTGTATAAAACTGATTTTATATTTTATTACTTATTTTTCTATTTTATTTTGACATGTACATGTACATTTATATAATTATGTCTTATTTGCCCTTTTTTGCTGCTTATTTAGAATTTATATTACATTTTTTTAAGTTTTACTCTTTGTTATTATATTATATTGTGACGTGTGAGCTCCTGTGTCCAAATAATTTCCCTTATGGATCAATACATTTTGTTTTAGTCGAACGTCTAAAAGCCCAGATGCTGTTTTTTCATAAACCATTAATTCCTACTTTCAGTAAATGGAGCGTAGTGATGGATGTTTTGTATTGTAAGTTCAAAAACATGAGCTGCCAAACTAAAGGCACTCAGCATTTTAACACACACGAATCAATACATATAATGGATCATATGTGTCCTTTAAATGTCCTGTAATGTCTCTTGTGAGCTTTAAGTCATGTTATAATGTTGTTAACTCCTCAAAAACAGGGAGTTGCGGTTTGTGTCAGTCACACATGTTTGAGTAATAGTCTTTCTACTTCTACACCCTGTGATTTCATGAAGCAATAATTTTCAAGTAAACAGCTCCTGCTACACTAGATTCATCAGCTGGTTTCACTTTGTGGAAACTGTCAGCATTAGGATTTGTTCTCTCGACAGTAGGTGTTTTTTTTTTTTTTTTTTTATAACGTATGTAATGCGCCAAATCCCGGAGGAAGAAGGACAATAACGTTTTTCCCCTTGATAAAATTCACCAAACATTCATCTTTGTTCCGGCTTTAAATCCTCGATCTCGGGAATCGTTGCCAACACAGAATGTCTGTCTTCATCTACATCCATCTCGATGCTTTGTTTACTGTTGTGCTGTTCCATAAACGGCCCCCAGACAGGTGCTTGAGCTCTTCACTGACTGGTTGGTGTGCGATCTACAACTTCCGGGGTTCTTGCAAAGTGTCTAGTATCTAGTATAGTATTCCGATTCCTGACCTAGTCGCTGGAGAGAAATTAAATTGAGCGGAGGCACTAGGTGGCACCAGCCTGGCTACCTTCTACCAGAGTCCTGCACAGGTCCATTTCTGGAGACCCACACCTGCGCAGTCCAGCACCGCACCTGCCTGTTAACCTGTGATAATATCAAAGTTAAACCTCCACCCGCCCGGACCCAGTAACATTCCACCCGTTACCCACCCAGACCCGTGATAAATCACACACAGATTAAAATCATTCTAACTGAAGCATCCATCAAAATCTGAACTGAAAAGACTTCAAGAATTACAATCACGAAATGAAACTGTTACACTTTCTTCAGTACGAACACAAATTCACAGACGCGACTCAAGTGTCATCACTTCACAGGCTTTATTTACTAAGCAGAAGAAACATCAATCTAAATCTTTTGCGCCGCACATGCCACAGACTGAACCAGGACTAAACCAGGACTAAACCAGAACTCACTGTTGGGACGGGCTTGGAGGTGCGCCCACACAGACCTTCGGGTGACTGCGGGCGAAAGGACCGGCTCAGAGCTCTGTGCCCCACGAAGGTAAGTGCAGCCACCCTGCTCCACGGGCTCGGGGTTCTCTCTTTTAATTCCAAGATTAGTCCTGATTTAGTCCTGACACTTGTGTGTAATTACTACCTGCCATAAAATTCCACCAGCGGGTGTCCAGTGTTGTGGAGTAACAGATTACATGTATCTGCATTACGTAATCAGAGTACAAATTATGAGTAACTGTATTCAGTTACAGTTACTGTTTCAGTGAGTGGTAATTGGATTACAGTTACTTTGTTGAAATAAATGGATTACATGGCAGTATTTTCCTGTTTTCACATTTTGGGCTAAATCCCATTTTTAAAAATGATTTTATTTCAGTAATTCTACTCAAACAGAACACAGTAAACATCTTAACGCTGGTGGCGTCAGTCACTCAATGAACGAGGTTGTTAATAATCGTCGTTGTTAATAACCTGATTCTGCATCATTTTGAGTAAAAAACATCCAATATTACAGATTTTTACTGGGCTGGCACCTTTATGTTTGTACTGAAAGTGATTATTAGGGTGGACATTTCTCTAGCAATAATATTTTTAATATGGTTAAGGAAAGACTGGGCTTTTTATTGTCTTTTAGCAGATAAAAGAGTCTTATGTTCAGATCCTCGTCTTTGCTTCTCTACAGCAAACAACTGCCTATTCGTGGAGACTTGGGCTTAACAGCCAATTTAAAGAGAACAAACAAGAATTTTTAGGATGTGGTTGATACATTCATGCTGTTTTAAAAAGCATGACAATATCAAGTAATCCAAAGTATTCAGATTATGTTACTCACTTTAAGTAATTTAATGGATTATGTTACAAACTACATTTTGGTGTATGTAATCTGTAATCTGTAGGGGAATATATTTTAAAAGTCACCTTCCCAACACTGTGGGGACCTGACCCCTTTGCAGGTTCTGCTCTGCCTTCTACCTGGGGGTGTTGTACCAAATTTTGGGCGCTGGATACAAATCAACAAAATTTGAGGGTGCTTAAAACATGTTGTTAATGAAAATTGGACATTACAGGTTTGTGAGAGACCTTGGGTAAAGAGAAACCCTTTACCCCTCGAGCCCGACACCCCCGCTTCTTCTACCTTTAGTTCAGTAAAGAGTCTCCAAGTGGGCTCATCCAAATGATCCTGTGAGTCACTTCCTGCGTTAACTCATGACTTTGCAAAAACATGTTGGAGTGTGGAGTGTTTTCAGTTTGAGACACGGAACTGAGACAGGTGTGAATGAAACAAACTCCAGGTCTGTTTGTGAAGAGTAAACAACATTATAACACAGATCAGAAAACGGCGTCATGTGGGCCCTTTAAACCGCGATGTAATTGTATAATTTGAGTTCAAGTGAATTAAGAATCTGACAAATATTTGAAATCAGGGTCATGTATGTTTCTGCGATAACGAAAATAAAAGTGACACATGTAAACGCTGTGATGGATCCTGTAACTTTTCTCTGGGTAAATCATCTGAAGGGGAGTAGGCGGATGAGGAGCGAGGACTGTGGTCAGAGCTGACATCACGGTAATTACAGTTTTGACTCTTAAGCACCACCCTGCTGTACGCCGAGCTTCTGTACACAGAGACAGACAGAGACAGAGAGAGAGAGAGTGAGAGCAGGAGGCAGGAGCAGGCAGGGGCAGAAGACAGGGGCAGAGAAGCCGGGTGCGAGTCACACATCTGGAGCCAGACATGAACACGCTACAGCCGACCATGTGAGTACGACACATGCTGCGGACGCTCAAAGAGAAATGAAACGCTCTGTTTGAAATGCAAAGTACAAGAAAGTCCAATTATTCAGCAAAGTTTTCAGTAGTTATAAGTTGTTCTATCTATCTATCTATCTATCTATCTATTTATGTCTATCTATATATATCTATTTCTATCTATCTATATCTGTTTATCTTTGTGTGTATCTACTCGTAGTAAGAAAGTGGGGCAGACTTCTGTCAGTCTGCTCCAGGGCAGCTGTGGCTACAGTAGTACAGGTTGGAGTGAATGAACAATGAAGTGTAAAGTGTTTTGGGCGTCTTGAAAGGCGCGATCTGCTGTAAATATAATGATTAATTCTTTAGTATATCTACCTATCTCTACCTAATCTCTATCTCTCTATCTCTATCTACTTATTTATCTGTCCATCTACCTATCTGTCTTTCTGTTGATCTGTCTATTTATTCATCTGTTGATCTGTCTATTTATTCATCTGTTGATCTGTCTATTTATTTATCTGTCTGTCTGTCTATAGCGATTTATCTTTCTGTCTATCTATGCTTATTTCTCTATCTGTCTATTTGCTATCTGTCTCTATCTATCAATCAGTCGATCTATCTCTCTGTTTACTTTTGTTTTTAGTGCTTTATATATTCTATCACTAGCTCTCTCTAGTCTCTCTTTGTGTGTATCTACTTGTGGTAATTTAAGTGAGGCAGACTTCTGTCTGTAGTGTCTCACCACCACTGAGTATTGAGTGAATGAACAATGAACTGTAAAGAGCTTTGGGCGTCTTGAAAGGCGTTATATAAATGCAATGATTAATTAATTAGTTTATCTACTCATCTCTATCTCTCTGCCTATCTATTTATCTATCTGTCTACCTATACATGACTTTCTATCTGCCTATCTATCTATCTATCTATCTATCTATCTATCTATATCTATCTATCTATCTGCCTATCTATCTAAATATCTATCTATCTATCTATCTATCTATCTATCTATCTATCTATCTATCTATCTATCTAAATATCTATCTATCTATCTATCTATCTATCTATCTATCTATCTATCTATCTATCTATCTATCTATCTATCTATCTATCTATCTATCTATCTATCTATCTATCTATCTATCTAAATATCTGTCTATATCTGTTTATCTTTGTGTGTATCTACTTGTAGTAAGAAAGTGGGGCAGACTTCTGTCAGTCTGTCCCAGGGCAGCTGTGGCTACAGCAGTAGAGTGTGGAGTGAATGAACGATGAAGTGTAAAGAGTTTTGAAAGGCGTTACATAAATGCAATGATTAATTCAGTAGTATATCTACCTATCTCTACCTTTCTATCTATCTACTTATTCATCTATCCGTCTACCTATACCTGTCTTTCTCTTTATCTGTTCATCTGTTTATCCTGTTTATCCTGTTTACCTGTTTATCCTGTTTATCTGTCTATTGGTCAAACTGTTGATCTCTGCCTATCCATCTAATACCTATATATATATATATATATATATATATATATATATATATATATATATATATATATATATATATATATATATATATATATATATATGTGTATGTGTGTGTGTGTGTGTGTGTGTATATATATATGTATATATATGTGTGTGTGTGTATATGTATATGTGTGTGTGTGTCTTCTACCAGAGGCCTGGGAGCCTGAGAGTTCTGCGCTGTATCTTTGCTGTTCCCAGTCCTGCACTTTTCTGGACTGAGATGTTCTGTTGTTTTTCCTGGTATCTGTTGTGTCTCTTCCAGTTTGGGGGTTACAGCCCCGAGTGTCCGATCACCACAGGCTCCACTGATGCCTTCACTTTCCAGGCTCTCTCCAGCTCCTCCTTGAGCCCCTGGTATTTCTCTAGTTTCTCGTGTTCCTTTTTTCTGATATTCCATCTCTTGGTATTGCGATGTCAACCACCACGGCTCTGCTCTGTTTCTTATCCACCACCACTATGTCTGGTTGGTCCATCACCATCCTGTCAGTTTGTATCTGGAAGTCCCACAGGATCTTGGCTCGGTCGTTCTCCACAACCTTTGGAGATGTTTCCCACCTTGACTTTGAGGTCTGCAGCCTGTACTCTGCACAGATGTTTCTGTACACTCTGCCCGCCACTTGGTTCTGTCGCTCCATGTTTGTTTCCCTGCAGCATCTTACACCTGCAGTTCTGTGCTGGACTGTCTCAGGAGCCTCTTTGCACAGTCTACACCGTGGGTTTTGTCTGGTGAGGAAGATCTGGGGCTCTGTTGTTCGGGTGCCCAGGGCCTGGATGAGTCTATCTATCTATCTATCTATCTATCTATCTATCTATCTATCTATTAGGGATGTAATGATAACCAAATCTCTTGGTATGATATTATCACGATATGCATCTCACAGTACAATATTTATTGCTAGAACACTTTTTTGCTTTTAAAATACCCTGGACAAGATTTTGATATGAATTATTACTGTCATAATTCAATTAAAAAACATTTTTTCACGTTGTCTGCACTGAAATGAATCATGGGAGATGTAGTTCCCGATGTTTATAAGTCGTTGCTACTGTAAAACGAGGCATTAAAGCAGAGGAACTTGTAATTCGATGTGTTGCGACAGCCCACGATATTATTGCGAGACTTTTGATGATGCGATATCACGATATTTTCAGTTATTGCTACATCCCTTCATCTATCCGTACCATCTCTCTCTGTCTATCTACTTTTACTTTAAGTACTTTGCAATACCACAGTTTTGATATTCATGATTTGTTACAACTTCACTCAAATCGAAATCCAGATCTAAACTGAACAGTGAAAAATCAAATCAAAACCCTTATTTATTAACTATTTGCTTTGATATAATTGTAAATTCTCATCCAGTATATTTAAAAACCCTTTACAGTGACATGCAGACAGAACACAGTGGACTTATTTTGACCTCAGGAGCTGCTTACAAAAAATATTTATACTGCGACAATACAAAATTTGCTCAAATACATGAAAAAACTCACAACAAACTCATATTTTTCTATTTAAAATTTCACTTACCCACTTTGAAATTTGTTCAGTCTGTATTTTAGCTGTTTATTTCTGCGCCAACCAAAGTCTCAATAACAAATATCTTGAATCTGTCCCAGTATTTTTAGCCGTGTGGAATACTTCGAAGTACTTTCTGGTGTCACCGCAGCATTTGGGGCTGTGGTGCACCTCGGATGGGGGCAAGTGCATTGTCTCTTGTTTATTTGAATGTTTCTCTTGTGGTGCGGTGGTTGAAAAAAATGTTGCCAGATAATTTCGCTCGAGCTGACAACGTTAAAAAATTTGGGTGGTTATGTAAGAAATACTGGCCTCCGAGGTACGGGTGAAAGTGCACATAAGGTTTTCATGTCTTTTTTTTTTAGTTTCTTGATACTTGGGGTAGTTTTGCATCAGTTAAAGTTAATTTTTTTGGTTGGAGGTCAATCACGTGCTTGTTTCTATGGATATATTTACGTTTATTCAATTATAGGTGGTTTTATAGCTCAAAAATTCCTAGAAAAACAAACATTCTGACTGTGAGCGGGGTCGCCTCTCCACAGATCTGACCTGTAACTTGGTCTGGTTTGGTCTTCATGAAAATATAAATGTTTGTTTTGATGGACCCTTCGCCATAAAAGTTGCACGGTGCAGCTTTAAGTGGCAGTTTGTGGTTGAAGTTGTGAAAAGAAAAGTGCAAAAATACAGGAAGTAGTGGTGAAAATTTTTTTTTTTTAATCCAAACATAAGGTATCATTATTTTCAGTCAGTTTGAGTCTGTCATCTTCTTCATCTGCTGCCTGTGTCCAACTAGAAAGTCAAATTATAATCTTGATCAAAAAAGAAAATAAAAACAACAAAAACTGAAAAGTATTTGTAGTAAAATCGTATATAAATATAGTATGTTCTGTAGTAAAAAGAGTAGTAAAACCTGGTGTGTTCACTGACCCAGAGGCAAAATATACATATAAACATACAGATTCTAGTACCACTTTAAAGTTTGTGTAAAATTGTGTAACTTTTCTAGTGGAGGGTCCATCAGATACTTTGTTGTGAGCAGGTGAATCTCTTTTTAGTCCTGCTTTATAAAAAAATATATAACGTAGGCAAGTAACAATAATCGAAATATCGTGATATTGCATCGTCAAAGTTCGCACAATAATATCCATCACAATTTATCGAATCACAAGTCTCTTTGTTTAAATTAAAAGTTATGATGCAGCAACAGCTAAAAAAAAGACAGAGGAACTACATAGACCATGATCCTTTGCTCCATTTCAGTGCAGACGACAAGAAGAAATAACAGTTCTAACACTTTTAAGTCTTAATTCTTTGGATTAAAGGTTGTATAGAGGATTTTTTAAGGGAAGCGAAATACAGCGACAGTCCTTTTTCAAATGTTGTGCATGTGTGACACCACCTTCCTCAGTAGAAACATCTCCTCCCGCCTCTTTACTCTAGAAATCACATTTGTTTACATCCAGTGCATGTTCAGAATTACTGTTGAAGTGACCTGCCTAGAAATATTTTAGCGACCGACGCGTCAGTTTTTAGACCCTTCGGACTTTCTTTTGCGGCGAACTGGTCTTGGATTCTCGTCCGCCATCGCAACAAACTTTGTGCGAATTGCGAGGGAGCTACAGTTTGAAAAAGCCTCTAAGAACCGCCGCATAAACCACATAATCCCCGCGCGCCGACGAGTCACTAACCCTTACACTAAAAATGTAGGGAGTTTGACTGACAACCTAACAGCCAATAGAAAAAGAGGGAGCCTCGTTTTCTATTGGCTGATGTTTATCTGGCCTCACTACGTCCACAACTGATAGATTTTCATTCTTTCTTTTTTTTTTCGGTCACCATAATTAAAAGGCTGCTGCGTCTCTGTAATGGTATTTTAAACTTTCAATGACAATTTAAAAAAAAAATAAAAATCCTCCATACAACCTTTAAGTTTTGTCAATGCATTTTAAGTGGAACAAATTGC